CTGTATGAAATAGTGGAAAAGTGAAAGGTTATGTTCTGTTACCACATTACTAATTTAGACTTATAACAATATTCCATACACTGTAGTCTTTACAACTGCTTTGAAATAAAGTTTGATCTTGTTGTACATTTCAACTTTGCTTTTATCTACAAAACAAATCAGATAATATGCAGGTGCAGGTAACTCCTGAAATCAGAAACAAGAAAGACCCTACCTGCTCCATTCAAATGTGGATAAAGTTATTATTTAAACAACACACTGTATACACCTGTAAATGAACACTGTCCTTCAAAGAAATTAAATCGATATTTTAACATAACTTTTTATGCACATGGCGAGTCACATTAAGTTTGGAAGCTTCTTCCATATTTGGTGCACTGAATGTGGTGGTCACATGACTCATCTGCATATCGCGAATGAGAGCTACTTGTTTCCAGGGCTTCAGAACTTGTGGAGTGAGTTAGAGCATAGAGCATGATCTGTTACTACAGTCTTTCGCACAAAATTTCACATCCTTACTCACAAATTATATTAAGAAAAATCACATTGGAAATATTACCAATTCTGCCACACTGATTTAATTTAATGGATGAGAGACACAGATTGATTTTCGCCTGATCTCAAGAAAAAAAAGAGGGTAAAATCTCTGACAAGGCTCTGGCGCAATCCTTCATAGTCCATGGAAGCTAGTGACAGTAGGTGGTGGTAACTTGGGGGATGGCACCCACACTGCCAATGCTCCACAGACTCAAGAAGTTGGTACAGTGCCGACTCATAAATGCCAAAAAAGGCCAGCATGTGCCAGCCTGTCATGAAAATTGCTATGTACTATCAATATTCATAATACCAGCTTTGTATTCCTGTGGTTTAGAAGCATTTTTTGGGTTGGATTTTTTTATTCGCACACGTGCACGAAGTTTGGTGTGTTCAGTGGTCCTCAATCAAGTCAGTTTGGCTTTACAAGCAGTGCTGCAAACAAAAAAATCCTCTTTTAAAATGTTACAATGTGCAACCTAGTGCAGGTTAGGTGCACATAGACAGACATCAGAAAATGCACCATTGATAATGCTGTTCATAGCTTTTGAGAAAAGAAAAGTGTGCATTGAAGGCGTCAAGACCTTTTTGCGGGTCAGTGGTGATTCACATGGTATAGTTTCATTTCTTAAAATTAATGTAGCAACTTGCAATAAAGGGAATCTGCGTCGCTACGAAAGCCAAGTAACATGGAATTTGGTGTGCATTAGGTAGCTGTTGTAAGGAGAGATACTGGGTAGGAGACTACCCCCATTTTTCGCATGGGGTTGCTGCATAGTTTTGCCCAAAATGATGCTGACATCCTTGAAAGTATAAGTTATGAAAGCGAAATGACTTTTTTGGCCATTAGTGTAAGATTTCTGCAGGTCAGGTGCAGGTAAGCCTAGAGCAGTCCATACTAGTATCTTGGTGTGTATGTGGGGGGGTGGGGGGTGGTTTGAGTGATTATGCCTAGGGAAACAATAAATCGGAATGTGGGAATAGGGAAAGTGGATACTAAATTATCCTGTAATTTCTTGCTCCCAATGTCTATCTTGTCTTGGTGGTTGTCTAAGGTGACTGGAACTTTTTGACCGTACCGTACAGTAGCACTATCGGTATATCATATTTTGGAGTGCGAAACACGAGTTCAGGTCACTCACTTACTAGTGTGTTAGATATATAATGTTCAAGTGGTACAATGTATATTGAAGCCAAACACTGTTACAGAAAGAGACGAACTTGAATTTAGGCCAATCTAGTTTGATTAAGGGTTATTTCTTTACCTGCCATGGCCAGATTATCTAAAGATGTGTGTACAATCTACAGAATTGTACATCATGTCTACTCTCCAAGCAGAGGTTTGGGTTTGGGGTTATTTTGGGCAAGTTTTAGGCTTTTTTATCAGGGTTTGTTTTTTTGCACTGGAATTTTTTTTTCACCCAGCCTAAATTGTGTGCAAAAGAGAAACCCCAATAAAAAAAGCCTAAAACACACCTAAAACACACCAAAAATAACCCCAAACCTCTGCTTGGAGAGTACATCAGGTCTGATGATCAGGTTTTTGCATTTCGCCGAATGTCGTTCCGGTTCAAACTGGTCCAGCTGACCCGGTACCCACCCCTACCAACCATCAATCATCCAATGTGGTTGGTGTGTAAACAGGTGTGTGTGTCATATGGAATGTTTTTAATTTTATGACCTATATCACTAAACTGAATTTGAGTTCTTACATCTGAGGAACATAATTCATGTTAGGCTTTATTGTATTATACTTTTATTTTTATAGAATGCCCTGCGTCCTTGACACACATTTCACATGTAGATGTAGATGTTCTCACACGTGGTACGTAGTATTCCTAGTATGTACAGACTGGTGAAACAGCGCCAACTCCGCTGGCTTGCCCATATTTGCCGTATATCAGATGGCAGAATCTGTTGTACAGTGAACCTGCCAATGGTTCACTGCACGTGGTCGTCCTCACCTGCGCTGATGTAGTTATTATAAAACAGGACATGAAAGCCATGGACCTGCAGCTGAACGGGGGGAGTTTACTTTTATTGAACTTGAAGCCCTTCTAGACTAGAAGCTACAAAAGGGCTGATTTCGCCTTACAAAAAAGGGCGTGCAGACCCTCTTATATATTTTGATAATTGCAAGGTTACTATTTCATTCTCTTATCTCACTGCTACATAGCACCAGTACTTATTTTTGGGATCCATACTGGACTAACAGAAATACAGTATTGTATACTAGTAACAGACCCCAATCTATTTATGGTTATAACATTAACATATGTTCAGTTATAATTTTTATTTGTGTATTAGAAGGAATAGGAGAATGAAGCCTGTTATCAATCATGCAAATCTTTCATCCAAGTTATGACAATACATGTAGTATAATATTGAACCTCTTTCAATCACCTTATCCTGCCAGACTGACTCATTTATTGCCTGCAGTTTCTCTGAACGTCCATCATTATTCTTGAGAATGAAGATATTAAGTGAATATCAATGGAAGATATAAAGATATATGATTATGAAGTATGTTATAATTCACGGAGCTCTGTATATTGTGACGGTCAGTATCTGGTAGTTGTAGCTGTGTTTACTATTCCATTATAATTTATATAACGTTAACGTTACATAGAACTAACCTATAATCTCCATGTAAACAATAATTCACAACATATATTTTGGCATTCCTGTGGCCTGACTCGCGCCACATGTGACCTGATATAGACATTGACTGAGGTAACTGCAAAGAGCATTCATAGATTTAGGAAGGGCAGGGTATATCTACTAGCGACCGTCACCGTTGTATTATAGTTGTAACGTTATAAAGTTATGTGCATGTTAACGTTACGAACGTGAGGGCCATATCGATATGCCTGATTAAATACTGCGCTCTGTATCAATTCAAAACAAATCGACGCACTTACCCGCTTATATGCTGACCCTCCCGTCTTGTTGGAAATAACGAAAGCTGAATCAGCTAACTCTCTAGCCGGCAAATTTACGCTGTACATTCTCTAGTTGGCCGCCTGTAGTAACGCGCTCCATCTTGTCCGCCATTTTTCCTCACGTGATCCTGGGCGTGTTACGTCACGGCAGCTCGCCACGCCAGGCACGGGTGGGATGGTATGATCATCGCTTATATAGACAGGAGGTATACCTTGAGGTACGGAGGTACTACCTTACACCTATAACAAGCGATGGATCATGCCCGTGATTCTATGCTTATAAGCTATAATCGTGGTCGTAACGGGTGAAATATACACCACTAGTACTCATGGTTAGTTTTTTAATAAACTTTTTTTGTGTGTTTTGCAAAATTGTTCAGCAGAACACCAGCCAACCGTTCGTGGGTAAGTCAGTAGTGACCAGGCGTGTTCAGTGGTCAAACATGGCTCAAATTTAACTCAAATTCGTTTTGTATAGAAAGATATAAGTGGCCGATGTTCGGTGGCAGATTAATGCCACCGAACAAAGGGGGCAAGGTAGGTCCTGAATACCTGACATGGGTTTTAAATGGTAGGTGATGAATATTGTAAGTAAGCAGCAGTGGTTTGAGAATTTAACGGTGTCGGCATCTGCACAGGTCTGCTGACAAAGCTGGTCTCCTATTGGACGGACAGCGGTTGCCTAGCGACGTCGTTTGGCATGACGTACCTGGGACCGACTACGCCGCTGCCCAGCTGACTATTTCTGCAGAGACCCACACAGTTCGCCACCTTTCACCCATCTCCACCATTGGTCTGTTCAGGTGATGAGAATATGCATAGTTTTGCAACACCTTCGTCTACGTATTGTCGTGAATGCTTACTTTTACATTAGGGCTATGTTGATTTGATTACATGTATGACATCATCTAGGAACGCCAAAACTGATGCGAGTGTGCGAATAAAACGAACGTTTGACAAAAACAATGCCTTGAAATCTAGATCAGGTTTCGCTATTTCGTCATTATACCCAACTAGCCTCTACCAGACGTCGGGGAGGGGCAAACTGTTCTCTTAGCGCGGAACAACTCCCCTGCCATGCATATGATCTGTCCATCCGGCCGATTTCAAGATCTACTCTTTTTAGCCGCTTCCTATTTAAAGTCTGATAGAGGCTAACACCCCGCTTCCATGTTATCTATGGTTTGTAAAGCTGACGTTGTACAGCTATTCCTGGTGAAAAAGACATGTATGAGGGCCTGTAAAGGGGAGGGGTCCCGACAACGCTCTACGCTGAATTCGAATTCGGAAACCCCTCGATTACTCTTTACGATAAATTCCAAGTGACTACAACGCATTACGTGGAATTAAACCGGCGAAAACGCTCTGCGCAAAATGCGAAGAGCGGTCCGTCTACGCTCTACGTAGAATTAAAACGGTCGATTACGCTCTACGGAAATGGGCTTGCGGGCCCCCATGTATAGTACGCTATATCATAATTCGATATTGACTCAGGCGTTTCTTCCACCCACCTACCCTCCCCATTCCCAGTTATGGCTTTGTAAAACCGGAGTCGTACGGCTATCCCGGCGGGCTGCGGCTTGCCCGGATCGCCGCCTCGTGCAGCGCCACCACCCCCGTCCCCGGAGACCGGCAGGACAACGACTGTGACGGGCGGGTGGACGAAGAGCTGCTGAACGGCAGGGATGATGACGGCGACGGCCTGGTCGACGAAGATCTGGCCGTCAGTGAGTGGCCTCTTTAAATATAGTTTTGTCGTCCTATATCCTTGGTAATCGTATCCTTTGACTTCCTATCCTTTCAAAAAGTGACAATTTCATTGAAATCCCTGTCATCTGTCAGCCATCAAAGACTGAAGAATTATCGTGTGGCTGTTAATTACTTGTATGGCTTCGGTGCCAATGTCTTGACACAGCATAGCACTGCACCGATGAGCACCAACATGGCGGCCGCCCGTATTACGCAATCCCCGTGACGTCACGTGAAAGCCGAGAATTCTTATTCAGAGACGCCCGAGTGGCGAATTTTTCTATATTTGCAGCAGTCTTTGAATTTATTTCTAAGAAATATGACCGTCACCTTCACAGAAGGAAACATATTGTTTTCTCCAAACAAATAAAGTCAATGATATGGACCACACGTCTGTCACCATGGTAATTGGTGCTGTAGCAGACACCCTGTGGTGTTGGGTTGCATAATTTGTACCAGCATAGGGTTGGCGGGTCTGGCCACCATACATATGAATATGACTTTTGTTTGGATATGCAGATCAGTAGTTTATTGGGCTAGACCATGTGAAGGTAAACATTATGCAGCTGTGCATTTTAAATTCCTAGTCTATTCCTAGTTAAATTCCTAGTTAAATTGAAGACACGTCATGTTTCTATGAGAACGCTCTTAATCACCGTCGTATATATCTTCCTTCCTCTGTAGGTAACTGTGCTGACCACAGGGACCGGTACAGGGAGTGCTTGGTGCAGCGCTGCAGGAACCTGGCCCCTTGAACACCTGTCAAACATAGCCGAATCATCAATCAATCAATCAATCAATCAAAAATGGTTTATTGCTAAAAATCACAAACATTGCAGCAGAAAGCTGAATTGCGTTCAAAGATGTACAATCATTTTAAAAGTGTTAACAACTACACAATATCGGAGTCCAATTGTCGTAGTAGAATTGCACATTGAACAATATTTACACGATATGACGTACATTTAGCTTAGTGAAATTCAAATTTTGCTCATCTCATTCACATTTGTACTTAACATATGAAAATTACATTAAACTATTTCATATGAAATTGCACAAGATATATCAGAGACATTCAGTAATTTACAGAGTAAGAGCAAAATCATTTCTTTTCGTTCAACAGTCTTAAGAGGGACGGTACAGGGCTGTTGTTACATTTTGTTGTACGTGTGACCGGGAGAGTCCGAATATGACCTCCAGAACACTGGCCGACCCACCACCTCCTCTTCCCAACCATAGTTAGGAGTTGGTCGGAAGCAAGGTTGGCTGTGGTTGGCTGGAGTTTGGCGAGGTTGGCTACTGTTAAAGGGGCAGCCGAGTGTTTTAGAATATTTAAAACGTTCGGGTGTGGAGGTGCGGCCATGTTTGGCTGGTGTTTGGCTTGTGTTCGGAAATATGAATGAATGAATGAATGAATGAATAAACTAGAGTTCGTAGGGCTCATGCCTTCGACTGTGTGATATTGTTTTGGTGGGTGTTTTTGTTTGTACATGGTAGTTTTTTGTGTGTAGATGTTTATTGTTGTTATTGACGGTATTTAAAAGTTAATACCGTGATAAATAGCACTGGGACTGCAGGACTGAAACATAAATGGCACTCGGACTGCAGGACTGAAACATAAATGGCACTCGGACTGCAGGGCTGAAACATAAATGGGACCGGGACTGCAATACTGAAGCATAAATAGCACCGGGACTGCAATACTGAAGCATAAATAGCACCGGGACTGCAAGACTGAAACATAAATAGGACCGGGACTGCAGGACTTAAGGGGGTTCAAGGGTTAGGACCGGAACTTCAGGACTGAAGGTTACGATTGGGCCTGCAGGACTGAAGGTTAAGATTGGGCCTGCAGGACTGAAGGTTAGGACCGGGACTTCAGGACTTAAGGTTACGATTGGGCCTGCAGGACTGAAGGTTAGGACCGGGACTTCAGGACTGAAGGTTAAGATTGGGCCTGCAGGACTGAAGGTTAGGACCGGGACTTCAGGACTGAAGGTTACGATTGGGCCTGCAGGACTGAAGGTTAGGACCGGGACTTCAGGACTGAAGGTTACGATTGGGCCTGCAGGACTGAAGGTTAAGATTGGGCCTGCATTATATATTACATATATAAAGCAGATTTCAACGTAGGCAAAAAAAACCCACACATATGATGATATGCAAAATGCAATAAAGGTAAAAGAACATAGCTTGTGAGGTGTTTACAGGGATTTATGAAACTGAAAACATAATAATGACAAATTGGTAAGAATAAAGCACTGCTGTATTGTTGCTAATAAATGCTGTTCTATCATTTTCATAAAAATAAATACTATGTTAAGTTTATTGTAAATACATGCGCGGTGGCTAATTGAAGTTTTGCATGCGCTTAGAGTGCTACGGCGTGTCTGCGTGCTCCAAAATCTGCGGGATTCCGTACGGTGGCGGTACTTACCACTTACCCATCCCCAAATTTTGCCGAAGTTTTTGCACGTATACAGCACGCAGTTATGCGTATGGCGGGTTGTGCCCCTCACTTTACATTGTTCGTGGTGAGTTATACTAACAGTGTTACGTTAGGCTGTTGTTGTAATTTACATGTCTAGACATCATTGCCCAACTGATCCTTACTGATCCTGCTTAATTTAACACTTGTTTAAACCTGGTGGCAAACCGATATATATATACGGATATCATTTTCACCAGTCAAAATATGTTCCTCTGTACCCAAAGATTCCCTGCTTGCAACTAACAGCTGTATACATGGCATATGTTTACTCAAGTTTTTAGTTAGAAAAGTCAGTGGCAACATACGTACACGAAGCGTACTAACATCATTAAAAATATTGGTTTTACGAATAAATGCTAGTACTTCACATTTTTCAGTTACAGATCTCGCACCGAAATTCACTTAGACTGCGTCTTATTTGATTTCTTTCCACTGAGATTAATGCCACACAGTATAACACCTCTATACCTTTGTATATTGATGGTAGCCAAAAACTAACATCATTCTCTTCTTCACAAGTTCCGAAGAGAACCCCACTTTCTGTCTATGCACAGATAACACAACAAGGTATAGGGTAGTGCGCACCGACACGATTTCCTCCGTAGGGCGGGATTTGCTCCCTCCGGCCAGTGCCTCGGAAGCTGTCGAAGACGACCGTGTGGAGGAACGCGGGCTCCGGCGCGACTTGGACTTGGCCTTGGGCATCGTAGCGGGAATGAACGGGGGTCGCTCGAGAACAGAAGAAGAAGCAAGAGGAGCCTAGAAAAAATGCTGCCACACAAGCTAGGTGTGGAAGCACGAATGACCGGGGGAAGGGAGACGGGATGGGGGAATGGGATTAATTAGAGGGGGAGTGGCTACAGTACCATCTGTGCGCCGACAGAAAGTGGAAATTCTCAACAGCCCTATGAAGTAGACGTTTTCTAAATTTTATGATTTAATGGCTAAAGGCAAGAGACCAAAACTACAGAACCACCACCTCACTCAGTAAAGCAGGTTTATAAGTAAGAACTATTGATTGATCAATAAATGAGCCTTATAAGTTATAAAACCTGATTTTCTTTATCAATCAATAGTTCGTACTTATAAACCTTTTTTTTGACAACTCCCAAGTGTCAATGACAAAGGGTAGTGAACGCTACCTGAAACGTCTCACCGTTTCAAAATCATATCCAGTTCCTTGTAATATGTAACTGTTTTGGTGTAGCATTACATGGATGACTAACATACACCTCAAAAGTTGCTACTGAGAAATTTCTATACTGATACGAAAAGACTATGGAAATCCACATTCTAAGGGCAAGCTACGTATATTTGATAGCAGCTATTCATCGTCACCTCTCCGGACCACTGTAAATATAACATCAGTAGGTCTACTTCAGTTAAACAGAATATCACTTCTTGGTCTAGTTTACAAACACCGTGGTTGTGCAATCTTTAATGACCAACTAATTATCATAATCATCTTCTTGACATATTTTTTTCACTTTCAAACAGACCTACAGAGACATCCCGACGGGACCAGGAACTTCGTCTCTTTAATGGAGTTTAAAAAGGTTAAAAAAATACAATCAAATAGATACAGGTTAATTACGGCATATGCCACATTTACAAACAACTCCCGCATCTTCGCCGTGGTTACAGTTCGCTGACCCCCATCCTCTATGCACACAGTCAGAAATGGTATTCTCAGAACCACGACAGGCTACATCGTCCAGCCAGATCTTTCCAGACCCCAGCCCGAATGCTGCTTCTTTACGAGCTGCTGTTGCAGAGGGATATCCCAGCTGACGGCAGACCACGTGAGCGTCATTCAGCTCCCATCCATCGTCACAGACCGTCCCTCATTGTCCGTCATGGAACACCTCAACTCTGCCTTCATTGGAGGAACTTCCGCCAACAAGTCGGATACCTTGAAGAAGTAGAAATAGAAAATAATGACATATTGTAGGTAATAATTAATGAATGTCTTTTGCGGGTCAATACCACAGACAGACGTCATTTTGCCGTTCTTTCTTTTTGAAAGTGGCGTCTTAAAGTACTGTGCGCAGATAATTGGCGTAGCGGGGGGGGGGTCGTATGGCGTAACGACAGAGCGTTCGGCTCGGAACCAAGAGGTCATAGGTTTGGAACGCTGCCATGTCACCGAACTTGGGAAAGGCACTATTCACGACATTCCGGGATGGAGGCTTGGCGAACCCCATCACACATTAGCCATGTAAAGGCAGCAGAATCTTCAGCTGGTTAAAGGCGGCTGTTTCAAATTTAAAGAAGAGGGGATGCACTTATTGGCACGAGTGGGTTGATGGGAGCACTGGGACAGTGACCTGTCGTGGTCCCCATACCGTTGAAAAAGTTTAAAAAAGAAAATAGTTAAACATTTCTCCTGTTTAGTTTTCCGTCTTTTTATGGCGTTTAGTTTTTTCTTCTTTCTATGGCTTCACCAACACTATTACATTGTCTTCATTCCAGCCCATACATAGAATGGGCTAAAATATTGTATTTTGTCATGTTTTTTTTCCATCATTTTGATACAGACTTCTAGAATTGTATTTCATTTTATTTGCTTTTTTTTCGACAAAATTTGTACATCTTGGGTCCTGATGAGGACCTGGTATTACATTGAAATGATCTGAAATATGTATGAGTGCGCTGTATATATCTATCAACAACAATTCATTGTAACTAGGCACACACCCGTTTAATATTGTATAATTTGGGACTTTTGACTGTTTGCAATAATAACATTTATTGACTTCAAGAAAGCTTTTGATACCATACACCGAGGCAAGATGCTTAAAATTCTTCGAGCAAATGGCATCCCCGACCAACTGGTGGGAGCCATAGCCAGTATGTACCAGGGCACAAAGGCAAAGGTCATCTCCCCGGATGGAGAAACGGAACTCTCTGAGTTGTACGCAGGGGTGCTGCAAGGGGACACACTTGCTCCATATCTTTTTGTGACTGTCCTTGACTACGCTGTGAGACAGGTTGCTATAGAGGGTAGGGAGGAAGAGCTTGGTCTGCATATAGACAAGAGGAGGAGCAGAAGAGTGGGCCCGAAGGTAGTCACTGATCTGGATTTCGCTGACGACATAGCGCTTCTGTCGGAGGCAATCCAACAAGCTCAAGCTAGGGCGTGTGGTGAGTTCAGTGGGAGAAGTCGGTCTTCGCAAGAATGCTGGAAAGACAAAGTTAATGGCTTTCGACATCCCGGCTCCATACAACCTCAGAACAATGGTACCACTCTGGATTACGTAAAGGACTTTAAGTACCTGGGGTCTAGAACGGAAAGCACAGCAAGAGACATCACTGCAAGAAAAGCAGCTGCCTGGCAAGCTGAAACACAACTGGATATCAAATCTCTCACGTGGATTGAAAGTAAGGCTCTTCCTCTCGACTGTTGAGGCAGTCCTCAGGCCTATATGGATGCAAGGCATTGACCCTTACGGCCAAGCTAGAAAAGCAGTTATATGGATGTTATATACGAGGTTGCTAAGAACTACACTCAACATCCACTGGTCATGCACAACATGTCACAAACAGAGAGCTATATCCTGACCTACCGAGACTCTCTGATAAAATCAGTTCAAGGAGGCTTGGGTTTGCATGTCACTGTCACAGGAGCAGAGAGGAGATTGTGGCCAATCTGGTACTGTGGACCCCCAAGCATGGGAGGAGGAGGCTTGGCAGACCGGCTGCAACGTA